GCTGCCTGGAGGCCCTCTAGCTTGATGAAGACCCTGAACCTGGGCTGTGGTCTGGCCTCTGGAGCTAGAGTTCCCCCAACTATTGTGGACTCTGGCTGAGAGACGGAGGCACCTGTCCAAGGTCACACAGCAAGCTAGTGGCAGGCCAGGCTCGTGCACACCCTGCTGTCCCAAACAGAGTAGTGAGATGACAAGGATGTACATGCATGCCTCCAGCTCTCTACCATTAGGTGCCTCAGGCCAAGGGGAGGCTGGGTCAGTGAAGTGACGGGTCTTCTTGCTAGTGTGTCTTAGCAGGCATCCTGCCATGCACCCCGCAGGTTCTGCTGCCTGTCACCAAGGAGTGGCCTTAGATCCCTGAGCACCTATGTGGTGTGCCCAAGGGACAGGAGCTCACAGCCCCTGGGGACAGGACTGTGGGCTTTCTCAGGGCTGAAACCACCCTTGACCCCTAGCCCTATACCAGCCCGGACACCAGACCTGAGCACAAGGCCACCCTCCATGTTCTGAGATGATTTGGAAACTTTGCTCAGCCACACTTGCTGACCTTCAGCCTGATGTAGCCCCTAGAGGTGGAGAGGCCCCGGTGTCCTAGGGTGAGGGGTGAGGGTCGGGAGGGCTGTAGTGGCCTGTGTGCTGGCTGCAGGCACAGTCTGAAGCTTCACAGCTGGTTAAGGCCTGCTGGTGGGGAGATGTTGCCGACTCTCTGATACCTAATTTTGTTTCAGAACAATCAATCTTTATCTTTCCTAGTTTGGTAAAGGAGAACAGAGTCAGAGAGGTTTAAATTGTAGGAAGCTGTTCGATTGTGGGGTAATCTCACTCATCTCCAATAAACTGTTCAAGTGATTATCACTGGGGTTAGAATTGATGGTAGAGGCACAGTGCGTGGTAGCCTGATCTGGAAGTACTTCAGGCCCCAAGCACCTGGTGGGTCCACCACAGACAAACGCTTGTGTTTGGGGGGAATCAGGGGATTAGTAGTCGGGGAGGAGGCTGTTATGCCAAGGAGACACTGGAGCATGTTGTGAGGGACTTTGCAGGCCAGGTGAGGGGCTTTACTTTGAAGTCAGGTAGTTCTTTACTGGTTTAGAAGAAGCTGGGGGGTTGAAGATGTCCTGGCCCTTGTGGGCCCCCTACCTGGTCCAGGTCCCCCACTGTGCTCAGTCCTCTCTGAGGAGCCAGAAGGCCTGAGCTCCCCTGAGGCGATCACCAGGGCTGACCCTTCTGCGCCACACTGAGCCCTCAGGGTGCGGGGTGGGTGAATTAAACTCAGAGCTCTCCAGGAGCTGTTGGGAGGCCAAAGGAGGGGAGACCTGAAGTCTTGAGTCTTGGCCCTTGGATCTGAGGGTGATGGGTGCTGACTGAGGCTGGAAGGAGGGTCTGGGGAGGGCGTCTGGGCGAAGATCTGATTTGAGTTCTGAAGGACACAGAGAGGAGGGGCGGAGCCTCTACTGTGTGACCACTGGCACTGGAGTGAAGCACAGGGCGATGAGGCAGGGTTCCCACTTGCTCTCCTGGGCTTTCCTCCTGAGAGGCCTCTGGGCCCTCAGGTCAGGAGCCCTGATCACAGGGCCGCCCGCCCCAGCCCCCTCCCACTTCCAGTCTGTCAAGGCCCTGAGGAGATGGTTCTGTCACGACTCTCACTCACCAGCATTTCTGTTCCCCAGCTTTATTGAAGCAGCCAGTGCTGATGCATCAGTTACAGAAATTCTTCGAGCACACCCCCTCCATTGCCGACCGTTGGCCCCACCTGCCGGGCCAGGGCCAGTAAACTCTCACCCACCCCACCTGGATGTAAGTTGTTCCTGACACTCCTCCAATCCCGTTTTCTGCAGCTCTCACCGCGTGGACCAGGCTACTGTGAGAGGACAGGGCCTCAGAGGCTGTCCTCAGTCCTTTTACATGACTTCCATAATTCTATGTACATGACAACAGTCTTTAAGGCTTCCTTGAACTGTGAGAAATCAGTTAACTCAGTAGTACAGTTCTTGGGTGATTCTGTTGGCTAAATAAGAAATATACATTTAAGTCATCTAAGCAGAAAAAAATAAAAGCCAGCTCTGTTCTCCCAACCAAAAGGGTCACATGATAAGCCCTCCATCCCCTAGGAGGTAACTGAGCGGGTCCTCCCTTCCTGTCTTAGGGAGGACACTGGGGCCTGTTTGGTAATGGCAGAGCCCAGGGCCGTGGGGAAAGCGTAAGCAGGGCGTGAGCAGGTCCCATGGTTGCCTAGGACAGGGACACAAGGACAAGCAGGGGACTGTGTAAGCAGTGGATAAAGAGAGTGAGCATCTCAGTCATTTCCCCACAACACCGCCCCCCCTCACAAAACCGCTGCCCCACTGGGCTTGGCACTGAGTGGCTCTTCCCTCCCCCCAGGTTGAGTCCATGACCAGGCCTGTCTCAGACCTGCTCCACACTGACCTCTGTGTGCAGGGGCTTGGCAGAGTGCATGACAGAAACCTCCGGAACGACTCCTGAGCCCCGACTCCCCAAAGCCCCAGCCCCTGTCAGTGAGGGGGCTTCTTGGGATTGGAAAGTAGTACCTGAGGCATCACATGTGGCAAGTGGGGGCCATAAGAAGCCCTTTGCCCTGCTGTGCCCCTGGCTGTGGTAGCAAGAAAAATAATGTCTCTGGTCCTCCTAGGAGCAAATAGTGACTTACTTGAAGCTTTGTGCAGATTCGGATAAGTTCTCTCATGTTCTTATAAACCTTTTCTAGGTGATCATTCTTATGTTTCTCAGTGAGATTCTTCAGGGTGGAGATGAAGTCCTTTATAAACTTCCCATAGCAGCACTCCTGGAACAGGGGTGGGGGACTGGGATGGTGGCGGTGCACCACAGAGCACCAGCTGACCCCCAGCCTCATGCATCCTGGCTGCCCTGGCCAGAAGGAGCCCTGGCTCAAATGCAGGCCCTACTCTGGTTCTTCCACAGGAGACCCATGAGCACTGTGAGCTGTGCACAGCGCCTGGTCTCTCCCCAGCCCCAGGCTGGTCTGGGACAGTGATCAGAGAGCCCAGCACAGCCCACAACCTGGCCATCACTTCATCTGTTGACTGGCTGGAGGCGCCATCCTCAGACTCTCAGCTTTCTCCCCAGATTCTCTCTCCAGCATCTTTTGTTTTTATCTCTGCCGAGGGGGGTGATCCTTTTGACAAGTGGTCAGAAAGGTCCCTGTGGTAACTGCTCCTTACCTTGCTGGTGTTCTGGGGACTTTCGAAGTAACCCTGGAAGCAGGAAAAGTTGGTCAGAAACACAAAGGGCCACTGAGAGCCAAGTGATGTTTGATGAAGACCCAGACTTACGTTGTATGTAGTGTTGTCAGCTGAAAGGTCATGCTGAATCTCAGCACAGATTGCTGTGTGATTGTCGTAGAGAGACATGCCAGTTATCTTCATGGGGTTGGAATGGCTTTCCAAGCCCCAGAGCACGCAAGCCAGGAGCACATACAGGTACATGGTATGGCTCAAGAGTGGCTCCAAGCCGATCCGTGCCGTGGCATGGCAGCATGTCTGTGGGGAGGGGTACCTATATATGTGAGTCTAAGGAAATGCTAAATCTCTTATCAGTCATCACTGACTTAAGTGGAAGATAGAGAGGACCTTATCGCTGGGCAAGATGTGCTTTTCATGCATTTTATATGACCACAACACACTTCATGGATGCTTGTCTTTGTTGAAATTGAGGTTTGGTCCAAGAAATTTTATTCATATTTACACCATGAGTCATGACTTTTCTGCCTGTGTAGGGGGCAGGACTTTGGCTGGGACTCGCGCAGTCTTCAGGTGCTGGCCAGAGCAGAGGGAGCAGGTGGGTGGAGAGAGAGCCAGCTGGGGCTAAAGCCGCACCAAACAGCTTCCCAGGCCCTTCTGCCAGGGAGGAGGCTGGCCCACCCCCACCGGACACCTGGGGACACATCTGCTTTCTCATAGTCCCCAGGAGGGACACGGGACTTCAGGTGCACATCCTCCAGCCCTGCTGACAAAGCAAGGGAAGAGAACAGAGCTGCTATGTTCTCATCCTGAAGGCCATGAATTTTAGGAGAAACTGCCTGATTGGATACAAAACTTCATGTAAAAACAGAAACCAGCTCAGAAAAATGCCACACTAAAGCCATATACCAACAAATTATGAACTTACATTCTGACTCTCAAAGATTAAGATCACCCATTTTGGGGAATGTTAGGTAAATATGCTGAGCTTTGACCCCTGTGGTTTTTTGTTTTGTTTTGTTTTTTTCCTAGAACAGCTAGACTACTTGCTGGTTCACCTTAGGAGTGGTTGAAGCCCTGAATGGGAGGGGCAGGGTGTGGCCTCTGAGGGTCACAGGGGGTTTGCCTGGTGCCAGGGGGTGCCTGTTCTGTCAGTGACCAGCTAGGCCTAGTCGACCCTCAGGGCTGGAAGGATGATGCCCCTTCCCTGGGGCAAGTTTCCCCCAGGCTGGGTCCCTTGGATTCCCAAGTGAACCTGGGAACCTCTCTCTGGGATCGGAGCCCATGAGCATGCCGGGAAGCACCCTAAGGCCTGCCGCCCCTCCCGCGGCTCTGACAGCGCTGCCCTCAGACAGTGCAGGACCTGCTGCAGGCCCGCCCCTCCCCCCGCCTTCTGCCCTGTGGGGAGGGGAGCGCCACTAGCATTTGCTCGTGGTGGAAACAAACTGCAAAACTACACAAATAAGAACAGACTTTTAATAATTTATTATTATGGTAAAATATCTTGAATAAATAAGAAATAGGAGCTTAAATAAATAAATAAATATTAAAATACATAAATACATAAATAAATATTAATGGTCCCTGCCAGTGTAAAAGTCCCCATTCCCCTACCACACCCAAGTCAGGGTCAACATGGCTCAGAGCAAGTCCACGGCCGCCGGGGCCCTGGCCCTGCTCTTGGTCCCTCCGAGGTGAAGACCCTGAGGCTGGGCTCTTCGTGGGTGGCGGGCAGCAGTCTGTGAGGTAGACTCCCAGGGCTGGCTCCTGGGTTGGCCTGCCTCACTTCTGGACTGGACTCCAGCAGTCAAAGGGGATGGTAAGTAGAAAGTCATTCAGATTCTTTTTGAAATCTTTGAAGGTGGTAATCAGAGTTTCACAGGAAGTTTCCTGAAAGAAATAGAAAGAAAAAAAAAAAAAAAGGAATCTTGAGTCCAGGTGTGAGTGGGTAATTGGGCGAGGGGGCAGCAGTGTGTTCATGTGCCTCTTGGAACTCAGAGGTCAGAGGACCTGTCTGGGGCCCCCTGCTGACTTTGGTCAGGTGACATATTGCCACCCCTGTGTCACCCAAAGGATATGCAGCTCTGCCAGTGGCAGCTGGGGCCAGGGACCTGACAAATTGCTTGAGGCTGGTGTGCTAGGCAGTTGGACCCCTGGCTCTTTGGTCTTAGGCCAGGACAGAGAAGTTTTGCTAGGGCTGGCTCCAAAAGCCCAAAAAGGGCAGGAGTCAAGGCCACTGACACAGGAAAGAAGTGTTGGGGACTTTGCACGTTCCAGGTATGCTTCCCTCCTTGTTCCCATGCAATCCAGGAGCCACAGGAGGGGCCCGGGGAAAGTCCTGTTGGGAGGTGGCACTGGGGCCCTGGGACTTCCTCCATATCTTAAGTCAACCCTGAGTATCTTTGGGTTTGCCTCACCTCTGACATCATTAATGACAACAAGAACAAGAACAGAGCAGCTCCCACCAGGGAGCGCTGTCAGCCCCAGAGCTCCAGGCTTTAACTCTTTGAGCCAGAAATGGGCTGGACTGCTCCCTCTCTGGAGGGTCTGATCATTGCAAATCTGTTAACATAAATCCCTTTGGAGTCTGGACCAGCCTCACCTAGTCTTTCTCTACCCAGTCCTCCACCCTCCTAGACCAGGACCTTCCCTCCTAGGGCCCTGGCGCGGCCACTCACCGGGGTAGGGGGACAGTACAGCCCGTAGTGGTTGGCCATCAAGGCCAGGGAGCCGTTGAGTCTGGTGAGGTTGCCCCGAAGGCCCTGCTTGTACAGCTCCAGGCGGGTCTGCAGGCATGTTGGCTCCTGTGGGAAATGTCCATTCCTCAGTAAGCAGTGGCCAGGGGCCCTCCCCAGTACTTCTTCATGTTCTCATCCCTGGCCCCCAGGAGTGGAGCCTGGGAGGGGCACAGGATGATAACCAACTAGTCTCAGGCAGATCCGGTCATAAATACTGCCCTGTCCCCCTGGACACACCGGCACAAATCTGACACTCCCTCCTTACTCAGCTTGGGCCACCCCCAGCCAGCACAGCCATATTCCCTTTGCCTGGCCTCTCAAGAGGGTCCCAGAGCCTAGGAAGGTAGATCACCATCCCCCGGCCATTCAGGGAGAGGGGGCAGGGCATTGCCTGGACTCCTCCGTGCCCCTCTGTAGCTGTCACAACGAGTGCCCCAGGCCCACAGCCCCCGTCTCATGGACTGACCCCTGTTAATCCACCTGTCCCTGGTGACCCCTGGCCCCTTGAATACTAGGTCTGCCAGTGGCTGCTCGGATAATAAAGAAGCTGATGTGACTGTCACAGTGGCAAGGCCAACGGCCTTCTGAGCACACCTCTGGCAGCCAGCCGAGTGGAGAGGAAGTGGACAACCTTGTGCGGATCTTTCTAAAATGGGGCCACCCCCACCCCCCACAAAGGCAGAGGCCTCTGGGAAGGTGTGTCAGAGGAAAGCGTCTTACCTTGGGGTCAAACATTTCAGAGACGACTTCTACTGTTTCATCCTACAGAAAAGGAAAATGTAGTGTTATCCAGCTGCCAGGCAGGGCGAGTCCAATCCAGGGGGGTGGGCCAGCAAGGTGGCCCAGGCACAACCCTCGCTCCCTCCCTCACTTACCATCACGTCAGTAATATTAGTGTTGTTAAGGAGGATCAGGGCCTCCTTAATGGTGTCCACATGTATGAAGGCCCGTGTGACAGGGCTGGGTGGGCTGGTTGGTGCGGAGATGCTACAAACCACAGTGCCCAGGAGAAGCAGGTTCCTCAGCCACATCCTTCTGAGGACTTTAGCCTTTCTCTCTGAATACTGGGCTCACTGGCAAAAAAGCTCTTATATACACAGTTAGAGGAAATGATTAATGGTGACCACAAAACACCAGGGAGGTGGGGGAACTACCTGAACTGTGGAATCTCCTGGTCCTTATCAGCTACACATGGGAAAGGTGAGCCTTTCCGCCAGGTGGTCACCATCGGGGGTTTTCATTTAATGACCCCTTCCAAGAATCAGCACCCCACCCGCCTGCCTCCTTGAGCTAGCCTTCCCCGGGCACTTGGACAGCCCGCTGTGGCTCCCCCGCCCTCTGAGGGGCCTCTGGTCACAGCTTGCACTTCCTGGCCTGGAGTGGCCAGAGCAGTATCTGGGAGACACAGGATCAAGCTCCTACTCCCGGGCTTCCCATTCTGCCTGTTATCCCAGGAGGACTTTGGGCTGGCTGTGCTCACCCTGGCATCCATTCCAACCCCAGCCTTCCTTTCTCGCCCTAGAGCCTTCTCCTCTGGCCACAGTGAGAGACTTGAGCGTAAGAAGGATTTCATTGGCCCACTGTCCACCAGGCAGATTCTGGCCAAATGGCATAGTCCTACAATAGCTCACCTCAGCTCCAAGACCCAGAGCAGTTGACAAGCTCTGCTCAGCCAGGGTTCTCTTCCCTACAGCCCCTGTGAGCAGAGGGAATGACAACCATGTGCCTATCCAGCTAGCAAGGTTGCCGAGTGCTCCTCCATAGTGAGATCCCATCTGAAAGCCAGTGCTGGTTTACGCAGCCCATACCCAACCCCCACACTACCTTGGTGAGTCGGGGCTCTCAGCCAGGGTGGGACCCTGAGGACAAATCCTGGTTCCAGCATCGCCTGACTGAGTGGCTTCCCTCTGAGCTGTGTGAGCCTCACCCCCCTCTGCAGGTCAGAGTGCCACCTGAAGGGGGGCAGCACTGTCCTACCTATTGGCCTGTCAGACACCAGGAGTTTCCAGGGATGGCTGCGGAGTTGTGGCTGCATCCGCATAGGCACAGGGGACAGTGTCCTCTCTAACAAGGTCTTCCTGGCCTCCTTTCCTCCATGGCCCCTGCCCAGCCCACCTCCAGCTCCGGAGGCCTCTCTATGGGACAGGAACTGCTTCTGGAAAGGCCACAGGCTCTTGAGGAGCAGACAAGTGTTTGATTTTCACAATGGAGTTTGGAGAGGAGAGCACGAGGTTAGGGGTTTTTTGGTGTGTGTTTTTCATTTTTTTTCAATTAAAATATAGTTGGCATATAATATTGCATTAGTTTCAGATGTCCAGTGTAGTGATTTGACATTTATATGCCCTGTGATGCGATCGCCACACTAAGTCTAGTAACCCATCTGGCACCATATAAAATGATTACATTAGCGACTATATTCTCTATGCGGTACATTATATCCCCATGACTTATTTTATAACTGGAAGTTTGTATGGCTTATTGCCCTTCATCTTTTTCATCCATTCTATCCCCCATCCCCCAACCAACCACCAGGACAGCATGCGTTTGTGTTTGCTGCCCATGCTGAGCTCCATGGCCTCAGGGGTGTGGGTCCAATGTGTACGATTCTGAGTGTGTGCCCATGTGCTTGGGTGTGTCTGTACATACAGGTGCATTGGGGTGTGCATATTTTATATGAGGTCATATGTGAGTCTCCCCGCCTCTGCAGGTGCCACTACTATGGGAGAAGCTTTCCACACAGAGTGCGATGTTTCTGAGCCCCAGAGGCTGATTCGGCCTAGACTGATGGGGTCACACACAAACTGGGGCATTCTGCGGGGCTCAATGGACAGCCCTTGCCAGCAGGTAGAACTCCTGGTGTGAGTGCTGTGGCCCAAGCCTGCAGCCCTGGCAAGCTTCACTGCGTGGAGGGAGGGCTGCTGCCCTTGCACAGGAAGGCCAGACCTGAGTCCTCCCAACCCCACTGGGGTTTTGGCCAGGCTCTGGGGTCTACCGTGAGGCCAGCCCTGCCCTCCTGAACCTGGGAAACATTCCTAGAGGCCAGGCGGGGGTGAGAGTATGACATGCCGAGGCCCTGGCCCTTCCTCCAGAGAGCCCCTTCCAGGGTGCTCTCAGGGGGCACAAGGGGAGTCAAGGACACTAGGTGCAATGTAAAATGGAGACCTGTGTCAGTCAGTGCTCTGGGGGCTGCGTGCTAGGGACTGGGGGCCACAGTCAGCCACTAAGCTAGTGGCCAGGGAGGGAGAGCGCTGGTGTGGCCCCTCTGAGATAGAAGGTCACTTTTTCCAGGAAATGAGTTGACAGTTAGTCAACAAACTTCTCCAATCAGCACCAGGCCCTGTTCTGGGGAGGAGGTGGATGGGACTTTCCCACTGGCCCTCACATCTGGCCCTGGGGGACTCCTAGTCTGGGCGAGTAGTGGGGGGCAGACACTAGTGGACACTCCCGTGGTGTGGTGCAGGCTGGAATGGGTAAAGTTCAGAGCTGAGGGATCCTGAGGAACCATTTCTCCCAGTTTTGAGGTTCAAGGGGACCAGAGAGCGTCCCAGGAGATGCTACCTTCCAGTGCACCCAGAAAGGGCACAAAGAATAGGTGGGCAAGTCAGCTTGCGGGAGGAAGGGAGAGTGCTTAGGGCACAGGGAGGCAGAGGGTTTTAGGAGCGGGTATGGTTAAGACGGAGCAGGCTCCAGGGAAATTTAGCAGATTGAGTCATGGTAGGACTTGGTGATGTAATGGACTCATTCATTCAGTATTTTTTGAGCATCTACTAGGTTCTCAGCAGGAGAGGGCGCTACAAGAATGGTGGAAAACAGACCCCGTCCCGCCTTTATGCACTTTGTAGCCCTTTCGATGGAGGAGCAAGATTAATCTACTCACCCCCCTCCCCAAAGGCTGCTTTTGGATATAAGTAAGAAGAGTCTAGAACTGCTGTCCAGGTGTCTAAGGTGGGGCCCCAGAGGATGAAGGAGCAGGTCTGCAGGATCTGAGGGCCCACGGAAAGGTTCAGCAGTTGAGAGGCCACATGTTCATTCAGGGACAGACCTGGGAGTGGTCTGTGTCCAAGTGAACAATAAGACCATAGCAGGTTATTCAGGAAGGCAGGCTGACTGAAGGCCAGACAGGGTGGGTGCCTGATAGCTGCCAAAAGGCTGACCATGGCCAAGGCCCTGGGAGGGCAGGGGATGGGGAAAGCAGGAGCCGCGGCGGAGGCCCAGCGTGCTCTACCACTGCCGCAGTCAGCGTGTGAAGGGCGGAGTCTATGGGCTTGGCGAAGAGGTTCGTGGGTAGCCACACATCTTTCTTCTGGAAAGATGACATCAGGGCTGAGGCCGTGACATGGACAGGCATTCCTAGATTGCATGGAAAGTGGCACTGATATCATCTAGCAGTGCACTGACTCAGGAGCCCCAAAGGGACTGTGGGAGGGTGGGGGCAGGACCGTGATGGGGAGTGTGACTCCTCTTTGGCTCCCTCCCCCAGGGCCAGGAGAAGACCCTCTGCAAGGGGTTCCCTGTGTCTCCCACAGGCTCTGAAAGAAACAGGAACTCATGGGCACCCTGGGATCCTTACCATAAGGGGAAGGAAATGGGCCTCCAAGTGGCCTCGCATCCCATGGGACCTCTATATATGGGCAACTCGGCTACTTTCACTCTTCCTGGGTCTGTCACCCTATGGTGGGGACCCTTGTGCGGGTGGCCCACCCAGTCCACACAGTCATGACGACAGAAGCAGCGTTTGAGCCCATATCCATCTCTGTCCCCCGATATCTTCCATGTCAGGGATCAGAGAGCCAGGAAGTGCTGGTCACCTGGCTAGACTAGCAGAGGGATGTCCCCCTCAGTATAACTCTGAAGGGAGACTTCTCCAGGTGTTTGCAGGGAAGCCACAGTGGCCTGTGGCTGTCCCAGGGAGGCCCTGGGGGCCAAAGGCAAAACCTCCGCAGCAGAGCCTGCCACCTGTCTCAGGCCTGGGCTCTCCGCCACTGATCCCTGGGTAGCCCACAGAGGTCCCTCCTCTCTGAGCCTCTGCTTCCTCATCTGTGTAATGGGTTTAATTATCACTGTCTCCTAGAGGAAATCGTGGCCTGTCCCAGGAAACTTTGAGGGGAATCCTCCCAGGGAGGAGGCAGTGCTTCAGCCTTTCCTCTCCTTTCCCCACCACTCTGGGGGGTGTCTGAAGCCCCAACTGGGCAGAGGATTCAGCCTTGCTGAACATTTCTGGGATACCTGCCACTTGCGCAGCCCCAGATAGCATCTTCCCGGACAGATGTGGTGAGGTGGAGGGCCCAGCCTCCAGACAGATTTCAGTCTCATGGGTTCCTGCATCCCCTTCTGAGATCCCAGGGCAGGGACTGTACCATCAGTGGCTCATCCTTCTCTGGGAGGGGGTCACTCCGGGCTACCTGAGACACATGAAGTGACATCTTTGGCCTCCATGCTAGCAGCTCCAGACTCCTCTCACATCTCCGCTGTCTAGGTCCCTAGAGGTGCATCTCCAAAAGACCAGGCTGTCAGGCCAAACCCCAGTTCTGGTCCTGCTCACTGAGTGTCCCCAGATCCTGGTACCAGTGAGTCCTGACTGGTCTGGGAGGATCTGAAAGTGGCTGGCTCCCAGCCACATGTGGACTCTGCATCCATACTGCGAAGGCTCCAGGAAGGCCCGCCATATGTGTCTCACCTCGCAGCCCCCTGCATTCAGAGCTCACATTTGGTGGTCACTTTAGGCAGGGGGCAGGGAGGACAAGGCCCCGACTCATATGCACCCTGTTAAGGGCACCAACCAAGGTGTGCGCCTAGAATGGACAGCCAGGAGGGGCGGTGAGGAACAGAGAGTGAACAGAGCGGAGAGCAGGCTGCGAGGGAGCGCCCTGGCTGCGTGGGCTTGAGGCCGAAGGGGAGTAAGGTGTGTCCGACAGTGGGGCTGCGATGGGGGCGGCCCATGGTGACTGAGAGGATGGGACAGTCAGTCCAGACTAGACTGGACGCGTCAGCTCTGGGACATGCGCCCAGAAGTCAGGGAAAAGTCAAGGCC